CATTTTAAATAATTCAAACCTAATCCATATTATCATTGTTTTTTTATTTTCTCTAACATTCCCTATAAAGCAATCGATCGAAACCAATCCAAAATATATTTTTAATCCGATAAATTAATTATTTACTCCTCCTTTTGACTAATAACACACCACTAGATTTTATTTATTCATACACTGGCGGTGTCTGATAGAGACACGAGATTCTGTGGATCCGAGATCACGCATAAATCACAGTTACACTCCTCTTTGGATGGTAGGCACGCATTCCGTTCCTTACGATCCAGTCTTTCCCACATTCCCTCTCTCCTCTCGTTATTACCATATATTTTACCCCAAACAGACAGTACTCAAAACCTTCCAGAGAGAGACATGTATGTAGAGAGAGAAACAGAAACGAAAAATGATTGGTAAAGCCGTGCTGGGTCTGGTCTTCTTAATTATCCTCTTCCTCACCTACTCCATTTTCATCGGAACCGTCGATGTCAGACCATACTTCTTCACTCCTTTACTGTCTCAGCCCAGTGAAACTACACCCTGCCCCACACGATCTCCTCTCAGAGTCTACATGTATGATCTCCCTCGCCGGTTCAACGTCGGCATGCTCAAGCGACGGAGCTCCGACGAGACTCCGGTGACGGCCAAGACTTTGCCTCTGTGGCCCACGAATACGGGGCTGAAGAAGCAGCACAGTGTGGAGTACTGGATGATGGCCTCGCTTCTGTACGAAGGAGGGGGGAGCGGAGACGAGACACCAGAGGCGGTTAGGGTTTCGGATCCGGATTCGGCCGACGCGTTCTTCGTGCCGTTCTTCTCGTCGCTGAGTTTCAATACATACGGGCACCACATGACGGATCCGGAAACGGAGTTTGACCGGCAATTGCAGGTACTTGATTGCGATTTCCATGTTCCAGATTTACTTATGTATTTAAGCGATATATGGCGCGCGCGCGCACGCATATGCGTTTATGCATAATTAGCAGCACTGTTATTGCTTACTCTTCTGTGAAATGGTGACTCTGAATTAGGACCATTTGACGTATGGTGGTTGAATTTTTCTACCTGAAGTTTTAATTAGATCATTTAAGATGTTTTTGGAATTGCACATGGTGTAGAGATCCTATTTATATTTTCTTCACAGATCTTTTATTTTAGTGTGTAATGAGTTGTTAGAAGTTGCTGCGAGTATATTGTCTTTTGCTTCCTAATTTTGTCTTTTATTTGGGTAATATCAAATATCATTTTTCGGGTTTTTGAGGTAGCTGAAGTAAAGAATTCTGCAATATGCCTTGTTTAAATTACTGAGATCTGATTATACCCAAAATATCCCACCAACAGATCAATTCAGTTAGAGCTTGACCTAAGTTCGTTTTAATTTTTGAAGTTTCACAATCTTTGACGGAACAATGTGTTATCACTCAACTGAACAAGTTTGACTTAGTTTGTGAAATTTCACGACATTCCATCCAACAAGGAATTGGCACTCGCTCCAAGTAAGTTTCGACCAGATAGAATTTTCAGGATTAACTGATATACCACTTTAGCTTGTTCAAGGCTGATTGATCTATTAGAAAGTGTTAGGCTCTCCCTTATGATGGGGACGAGGCCTGCATGGAATAATTAAAAAATTTAAAGTTAAAATCCACACAGGACAAATGTTGTTATTGGATTGATACTTCTTGGCCAAATCTAGTTAATTTACTAATGGCCATAGGGAAAGCGGCATAAGAAATGAAAGATTGGTACCATTTGTCAAAATATAAAAGAAATAATTTTTTTCTCCTGCAACAACATAATCCCATGGTTACCAAATGGGCAATAGCCCAGTTGGTAAAAGCCCTCTTCCCCAAAGGGGAGGTCGGGTGATTGAAATCCCATGGTTACCATTGAAGAAACCAAATATATGGTAATACACTTCAAAACAAGCCTCTTGGCTGTATCTCCAATTGATACAAAGTCATCTATTCCTAATCTACAGTCACTTGGTCTAATTTTAAATTATTGTGACCAAGGCAAATGCAATGCAATAGGAAGGTTCCTCCCTTGGCTTCTTCAATCCCTTGATCTGTTAGATTAGTTAGTACAATCTTCCTCCATCTTCGGCCAGTAATAGTCCTATCTTCTTATAACTCCATCTTCGTACTACCTTGGGGGAATTCATTTAGAAGAGAAACATGTTTCTCCCTCTCTCTCGTTCTCTTATATACATATGTTTCCCTCTTTGACTAAGTGATCAACGGGCGAATATGTCATATTATTGTTACCATGTCAAATGGATTTCCAAACTGGACAAGCTCAAGCTTTCAAGAAAGGAACTCATGGCCAGCAGATCAGTATGAGTATCCTCACAGGCATGGTTATATTATGTTTATGGAGGTGAATTTTCCTAATTGGTAAAGAAGACCACTGCTGAATTATTGGCATTCTTAACCAAAATCTGGATTGGGAGTCTGACTGCAATGACTTGAACGAAGTTGATGTGCTCAAAGGGCAAGGCAAAAGACAGAAACAGCTGAAAGATTCTAAGGATAAAGAGGCTCAAGGCGTCATGAAAAGTACAAAATGTGGATCAACTTGATTGTAGCGCCTTGACGTCTTTGTTAAACTAAGCAGCCTTCAAAGGAGAAGATATTTTTGGCTTTGCATGTCTAATGACATCATATATCAAAGCAAATTGAGAAAACTACATTTGACTTGGATATGTGGGGGCCATTAAAGTTTAATTCTAATAGGTTAGTTGGCAAAAACTGCAAGGCTGTGAAAGAGGATGATTATGTCTTTTGATCTTTTTATTTTTATATATTTTTATGTATTTTGTCTTTTGATCTTATTGCTTTGATAGCCCAAAATAAGGTAAATTTGCTATTTGATAGTAAATTTTTTTGGCAGGTAATGGAGTTTTTTCTTTAAAGAGAGAGACATGGGTACTCGGCCTTGATGGATGGTATCATCCATAGGTAGACACCAATTCTATGATCTTGCGTCAGTTTAGTTCATCAATGAAGCTTTTCAATGACATCGAGCTCTCTAGAAAGCACTAATGCTGGTGATGTAGAACTGTATGATTAGGCCTATTAGGGATCGACTGGACTAGTCCAGCCTGGGAAAAGGGCCTCCGGCCTGTCCAACCCAAGGCCCGTCAGGCTTTGTCTGGTTAATGGGCCGGCTCAAACCATCAAGAAATTTATAGCCCCAAGCCCGTTTGACGGGCCTAGGGGGGTGAGCTTACTGGGCCTAGGTGGTTCTTTTATTTTCTGTTATTTTTGACACAAACAATGTACAAGTCATATTTAGGCTATGTAGTATATAATTTGATACTATTGAGCTATATAATAGAGTCAATAGACTACAAGTTTTAATTTTAGATATAACTTCATACATGAGTTACTAACTTATACACTTACTAACTCATAATAATAGTATTATATTCTTACTTTACTTATTTATTATTATTACTAATGCTAGTATAAATATATACTTATTGCATTAGTATATGATTAAAATAGACCGAGTTGTATATATATAAGAGTTCATTTTCATTTACGTAATAAAGAATAGCACTCCCTTCATTTGAGTTGTATGGTTGGGCTGGCTGGCTACAATCCAAGCTGGTCTGATGGGCTTTGGTCCGAACCCCAGGCCCAGGTCTGCTTAGTACTGTACGGGATGAGCCAAGCTGGCCCCACTAGGCGAGCTCTGGCTAGAGTCAGGCCAGGTTCCTAATCAAATGCTAATGCTCATGTATGATGCAATATCATGTATATAATTCAGTTTTTTTTTTTTTTTTTTTTTGTAAAAAAAAAAATAAATTTTGATAAAGTCACTGTTGGCCCCCTTGTCGGGTCAACCAAAAAGTGAGTTGGCAGAATGGGCTGGTTAATCTTATGTGTTCTTCCTTGGTTATAGATTCTCTATTGTGACTGATAAAGATGTCTTAGCTAACATGAACATTATGTTATATTTTTCAGAAAGTAACATTATGTTAATGTTCAGCTCTTTAAAATACTTAATTTTACATTTTCGAGAAGCCTCTAGGGTAATTTTACCTGAAAGTTTCCATCAACAGGTGATAGTAGAGTTTCAGCTGAATCATGTTCAACCAAGCTTGATCTAGTTTGTGGGGTTTTGCAAACTTTGATGAAACAAGGAGCTAGAATTCAGTCAAAGGATTGACCGGATAGAATATTTGTAATCGACTGATTTCCACCTTAGTCCAGTCATGGCTGATTGATCTATCGAAGTAGGTGTGTGTATGTTTATGGATATCAGGTTGTTATTTGGCTAATTTTGGTTAAGCTTGGTAGGGACATAACTGGCTTATTGGAGTGAATATAACTCTTTCATGAAGAATTTCATGGTATTGGAAGGCATTCAAAGATTAATGTTGCAGCAGCCATAACTACATTAGGAATTGGGATCTCCCAAATAGGGTTGTCTAGAGAAATCAAGCTCCTTACTTCTTCAAGTTTTTGTGGGATAATTTGTTCCTGATATCTTTTACCTGTGCGTGTGTTTTTTGCGCTTGCCTGGGTTAAATTTGGTTCCAAATCATTAAGACTAGATTTCTGTTCAGTATTGTTACTAAGAGGATCTGTTATTTTTTATGTCTGTCAGATTCTTTTGGTGAACAAATAACACATCGTGCTCAGTTTTGACTACACTAACACAATGCTTGGAGAGGTTTACCAGTATCATGTAATCAGTTATAATGTGGTCAATCTACTGGGTTTTCAGGAAATCTGATGGCTTATGGTCAGAAACCTGATGTTTCTATTATAGGAGCTATGAAAAAATTCCCAAGTTTTCTAGATTTATCATTGTGTTGGGGACCTGCTCTTTTTCTATGCTCTTGGTTCATCAAATTATATTCATTTTGTTCTTTATATGATCTGTTTCCTGTATCTTTGCTGTATAATCCAAAACCTCAGCTTCACCAACCTTTCTATATGCCTTGATGTACAGTATTTTTTTTCTTCTTATTAACTGTCAAAAATAGTCGATGCATAATTGGCCAGAGTAATAGTTTACTTTCTGTGACACATCACTGTGAAATCCCATTATTACATGAATTAGATACATTTTGCACTGAAATTAGCATGGTGATCAATCCTTTTCCCTTCAAAAGTTCAAATATCAATCTCAAAGTGGTAAACAGAGTGCCATTGTCCCTTCCCTCTCCCCCTCCCCCAAACCAAAAATAAATAAAATATTATCACCATTGAGGATACATTAAGATCACAACATATTGCACATGCATACAGTGCTTGTGCCGATTTCCTTGGTCACTGTTATATAACATAACTAAATTATTATTGTAACATCTTCCCTCTATGGTCTTATTGAGTTAATATGGTTGCTTCTGATTTCAGGTTGACGTGCTTCAATTTTTGAGGCAATCCAATTACTGGCAGAGGTCTGCTGGTCGAGACCATGTAATTCCCATGCATCATCCGAATGCTTTCAGATTTCTTAGAGAACAGGTGAATGCATCTATTCTTATTGTTGCAGATTTTGGCCGCTACCCTAGGATCATGTCAAATTTGAGCAAAGATGTGGTGGCCCCATATGTACATGTTGTGGATTCATTCACAGATGATGACCCTCCAGACCCTTTCGAGTCTCGTACTACACTTCTTTTCTTCCGTGGAAGGACAGTGAGGAAAGATGTATGTTAATTTTGGAGTTGAATTACATATCTTCATAATTTTATTTATTTTGAGCAAGAAATATTTTTGAAGTTCTTTAATGTTGCAGGAGGGAATTGTCCGTGCTAAACTGGTAAAGATATTAGATGGTTATGAGGATGTCCATTATGAACAGAGCGTTGCAACAGCAGAAAGCATTAAACTGGTATGCCTTAGAATTGTATATTACTATTTTCCTCCTGTCATGGAGAAGTTGGAGATAACTTGAATTTTTACCATAAAATTTGGACATCTGACCATATTTTCTTCAAGACATTTTTTCTCAGTTCAATAATATGGTTATTTTGCTAACTTTTGATGCTAGATTTTTCCCTTTACAATGCTACTTTTTTCTGATGTCACGCTAATTTCAACTTCTATTTATACAATCTCAGATTAAGCATGTCTATATTTGATTTTTTTTGCTAAGCCAATCTTCATTTAGCCCAATGGAAAGTTAAATATTTTGCATCTTTATGGGTCTGTAATTTCTTGTTGAGATTGCAAACAAAATTTGTATTATGTTATGAACATATCCTGTGGCTACCTTATCACATATTATGTTTATGAACAAATCCTAAGCCATATTTTCTCTCTCTCATTTCTCTCTCTCTCCTGTTATACCAGTCGTCGCAAGGGATGCGTTCATCGAAGTTCTGTCTACATCCTGCAGGAGACACTCCGTCATCTTGCCGGCTGTTTGATGCTATTGTGAGCCATTGTGTTCCTGTCATTGTGAGTGACCAAATTGAGCTACCCTATGAGGATGAAATAGACTACAACCAGTTCGCAATTTTCTTTTCTGTGAAAGAGGCACTGGTGCCAGGTTACATGGTTACCCAGCTTCGACAAATTTCAAAAGAGAGATGGTTGGAGATGTGGAGGCGGCTCAAGAACATCTCCCATCACTATGAATACCAGTATCCTCCAAAGGAGGAAGACGCTGTCAATATGTTATGGAAACAGGTAAGGAACAAGCTTCCTGCCGCCAAACTTGCTGTACATAGAAACCAGAGGTTGAAAGTGCCAGATTGGTGGCGCCGAAGGAGGTAGTTCCCGGAGACTGCTTTTACAATACTGTACATTCACAATCATCCATAGTGATAATATTTTTAAGGGGAATAAATATATCAGATGTAGTTACAACCCCTTTTGAGCCACGGAAATTTGCGGAATGAGTAGCATTTGAGTAGTCATTTTTTTTCTCAAGTTTTTGGTTGAGTGAAAAATTCTTTCTGGAATACCCAAAAGATGCATCTCGTCCATGTAACGGCTGATGTTTTTTACTTTTAACTTTACAACATTGAGTTCTGTTGATATAAACCTGCAAATGGAGGCTGCATGCAATCATATTACAGCAATGAGTTGATTATAACCGACTCTGGTGCCCTTCTTTCGCCTTTTTCTACTGTCATGTACTCGGTTCTAGTTTGTTTCCGAGGAATCCGTCAAGCAAACATCCACATCATTGGATGTCACTTAAGTGTAGATTAATAAAATAAGAGTACAAGACACACTCAACAAATATATGATGTTCTGATTTTATATATATATATATATAAGAATGCCTGCCCAAACATCAAATCTAACATGAAAAATACAACAATTTTCTAATGTTAGAACCTAAAATATAGAGCAATAACAGAGGAAAATGAAATTAACAAATAATGAAAATATCCTCCAAATGAAATTATAATCTTATCTTTTAACTTTGTGCCTATATGCTGTTGAAGTTTTTAACCATCCGCCAAATGGACATTGATGGGATGCAAATAAAAACCTGAAAAAAGTTTAAAAGAATCATAACACAATTAGCAAACTTAAATTTCAGATTTTTGATATGTCATTTATTAGCTATCTCTTTGTCATGCAGATCCTACGAAAATCTTTCTACAGAGATGGGGATCAAGATCAAAGTTTGATTGTAAATTGAAACATATGAAGCACATCAAAGTTAAATTTTAAATAAATAAATTTAAAAAAAAAAAAAATTAAGACAAGTCCTAAATTCATTGTTTTCTGCCCCGGCCCTCAAGGCTTTCAGAGCAGAGCAAGCCCCCATCCATGGATACAATTATGAAAGAAATACTAAACTTCAAAGCGAAAACCCTTACTAGACTAGATTAGGTAATTCTTACCTGTTTTACTTTTCTTAGGGCAATTAGCAATATGGTCGGATTTTCCCTGTAACTTGTGGGACGAACTCTTTAGGTAGAAAAAAGATATTTCAAGTGTGCCGTAAGTCACTAAGCTTTTGACACTGAAATAAGGAAATTGACCAGTCATTTATATCATTTGTGTTGTTCCCAGGGGCCAATTGACACCAAGTTTCAATTACTGGCTTGTATACACTGATGATGGTAAAAAAATAAAAAAAATAAAAAAAAAAAGAAAGAAAATGGAGGAGCATAAACACAGAATAATAATGGTGACATATACAAATTTGATATAAGAAAAATTAGAATGAAAACAAAAAAGCTCATTCAAAACACCCAAAATCAAGAGACGTTGTAGAAGCACAAACATATAAGAAAAGAAGCCATATCCACAAACCCGTATATCAAATAGTCCAAAAACTGGGACGAAACCCTCATTTTTAAAGCCACGCACAGAATTGCATATAGAAGAAGTTGGAGAGTGAGCCCCCAAATTTTAACCTCACATTGACAAAATAAGAAACAAAATCCCAGAAATCATACTCCAAAAAGCATAGAAACACCAAACTAAGCACCAGATAGATCAATTCACATCTTAACAAATTGAAACAACATTACGTATTCAGATCAGCAAAAAAACAATTCTTATAGTTTCAGCTTCCGAATTATCAGAGAAGATCTCTATACTTCCTCCTCCTGGAGCGAGACCACAGTGTGAACCCACTTCCCCCTTCTCTTTTCTTCTATACCATGAACCCATTTCCCTCTTCTCTCTCTTATTTCTTCTTATAGCAGTGAATTTTGGCGCCCTTGTTTTCCACAAATTTGGCGCCTTTGTTTCCCGCGTTCAGCCGACTACATGCCCTAAAATCAAGTGTAATCTTAAAGGTAAATTTGGCATCACAAATAATACATTAAGCATCTTCTTCGTTTTCCTTCCATTTTCTCCCCTAGTCATTCTCTGGCAGGCAAGTTGCGTCTTTTGAAAAATGATTTTAAAGTTTGGAACAAAGAGGTTTTTGGAAATTTGGCTTGGAGGAAGAATCGGGTTCTCTCTGAGATTGCTGACATTGATAGGATGGAAGGTCAGGGTCTTTTGCTGGTTCCCTTGAAGCTTAGGAAGGTGGAGTGTCAGGCAGAGTTTGCTGAGATCGCTGCTATGGAGTAAAAGTCTAGAGCTTTGTGGTTTAAGCAAGGTGACAATAATACTAAATTTTTTCATAGACTTGCCAATACTCACAGAAGAGGCAATCACATTGGGAGGATTCGGGTGGATGGGGAGATGCTTTGTAAGGAGGAGGAGATTTGTAAGGGTTTTACTGATTACTTTTCAAAGTTGTTCACTGAACCAGCTGGTTGGTGGCCTTTGCTTGCTGGGCTTCACTTTGACTCTATTTTGAGTGGGGAGTGTTCTGCTTTGGAAGAGCCATTTACGGAAGAGGAAGTTTTGTTTGCTTTGAAGAGCTGTAATGGGGATAAAGCCTCTGGTCTAGATAGTTTTTCTATAAGATTCCTTTTGGAGTGCTGGGAGGTGGTATGTAAGGAGGTGATGGGCTCTTTTCATGCCTTCCATGTTCAGGGTTCTTTTGAGAAGAGCTTGAATGCCACTTTTCTTGCTCTTATTCCGAAGAAGGGTGAAGCAATGGATGTCAGAGATTTTTGCCCTATTAGTTTGGTGGGATGTTTTTACAAGTTGATTACAAAAGTTTTCGCCTCTAGGTTGAGGAAGGTTATGGATGGCGTAATTTCTAATTCTCAGAATGCCTTTGTGGGAGGTCTGTCAGATTCTAGATTTAGTTCTTATTGCTAGTAAATGTGTGGACTCTCATTTGAGTTGTGGGGTTCCGGACGTTTTATGTAAGCTGGATATTGAGAAGGCGTATGATCATGTAAGTTGGAGCTTCCTTCTCTGCTTATTGGAGAAGATGGGGTTTGGCAGGCGTTGGAGGAGATGGATTCTTTTCTGCATCTCTAGTGCTCGGTTCTCTGTCATTATGAATAGAGCTCCGACGGGTTTTTTCTCTTGTTCGAGGGGCTTAAGACAAGGGGATCCACTTTTTTCATTCTTGTTCCTTTTTGTAATAGAGGCTCTTAGCAGATTGCTGAGGAAGGCTGTGGAATTGGGTTTTTTGAGAGGTTTTCGGGTGGCAGGGATGTTGATAGTCAACTGGAGATTTCCCACTTGATATTTGTGGATGATACTTTAGTGCTTTGTGATGCTGATGTGTCCCAGTTGAGATATTTGAGATGCGTCTTGATTTGGTTCCAAGTTGTCTCTGGTCTTAAGGTATTCTTGGTAAGAGCATTTTTGTGCCTGTTGGGGATATTCCTGAGATCGAGATGTTTGCTCAGATTTTTGGATGTCGTACCGGCTCTTTTCCCATTTCTTACTTAGGGTTGCCTCTGGGAGCCTTTTCGAGATGTGTGGGAAGCTGAGATCCGGTTGTGGATAGATTCGAGAAGAGGTTGGCGGGTTGGAAAAAACAGTATCTCTCAAAGGGGGGTCGGGTTACTCTGATTAAGAGCATCCTTTCTAGCCTCCCCACTTATTTCATCTATCTCTTTCAAATTCATTCTTTAGTGGCTGAGAGAATTGAGAGATTGTAGTGTAATTTTCTTTTTTTTTTTTTTTTTGGGGGGGGGGGGGGGGGGGAGGGGTGCAAGTTTCATCTGGTTCGGTGGGAGCATGTGTGCCGTCCGATTCGGTGTGGAGGCTTAGGGTTAAGGAGATTGTTGCCTTTCAATAAGGCTCTCCTTGGAAAATGGCTCTGGAGGTTTGGGATTAAAAGGCATTGGCTTTGGAGGAGAGTTGTCGCAAGCAAGTTTGGGGAGAGCAATGGTGGGTAGTGCTCTCTTGAGATGCGTGGTCTTAGAGGGGTGGGGGTTTGGACTTTCATTCGAAAGGGATGGGATGATTTTTGCAAGCATGTTCGTTTTCGGATCAAGGATGGTAGGAGGATCATATTTTGGGAGGATCTCTTGTGTGGGGAGCTTCCTCTTGCTCGCTTTCCTACGACTCCATAGGATTGTTTCTCACAGACAGACCATGGTGGTTGACTGTTATTACCTTTTTTAACGGGAGACTGACTTGGGATGTTCAATTTAGAAGGCACTTTCAGGACTGGGAGATCGAGGATATTACTTATTTTTTGGGAGTCCTGTATCACCAGGTGATCACAGTTGGGGATTTGGATTGTTGGCTTTGGGATCCCAACTCTTAGGGTTGTTTCGAGGTTAGGTCCTTTCTTAAGTGCCTTTCGGTTGGTACCGGAGGCCCTTTCCCATGGAAGTCTATTTGGCGATCTAAAGTTCCCCATAAGGTAGCCTTTTTCGCTTGGACTTCCGTCTTGGGCAAAATTTTAACCCAGGATTATTTGAGGAGGAGGAATTAGGTGGTGGTCAATCATTATTATATGTGCTTGTATGATGAGGAGACAGTTGACCACCTTCTTTTGCACTGGAACATGCCCAGAGATTGTTGGGATTTGATGCTTGGATTATTTGGGGTCCATTGGGTTATGCCTAGTTCCTATAGAGGGTTGATTGAGGCTTGGGAGGTGTCTCTGTTAGAGTTCTCATTCAGGATGCTTGGAGGGCTACGCCTCTTTGTATTTGGTGGTGCATTTAGCTTGAGCGAAATATGAGATATTTTGGTGGAAAGAAGAATCATATTTCTACGCTTAAGTTTTCTATTATTTTCACTTTTTTTTTTGTTAGATTTCAGGAAGTGATTATAGATGTACAGAGGAGATTATTGTCTTTTTTGCCTCTTTGAAGGTTTAAGACACCTTGTGGCCCTTGTGTTTCTTTGGGTTCCACTAAAATCTTACTTATCAACCAAAAAAACAAAAAAAAAAAAACCCATCCCTTTCCTTTCTTTTCCTTTCCTTCCAAACATTGTTGCCAAACACAATTTTTTAATCATTCTCTATCACCTTTCCTCCTTTTTCCATTGCACCAAACTGACCCTTAACCTCAGTATATAAATATATCAACCGTTGGTAACTTGTAGTCAAAACCGTGCGTGTGTTATTTGTCAATTGTCATGGTAAAGGATAACAGAGTGCTGATATTTGTGCTTCCTGGTTTTAAAGACCACAAAATGAACATTATGTGTGCTCTCAGAAGATTTAGCAAATAGATTATATAAACTAGAATGTGCAATTTTAATATCAAATCTGTTATAGCCCAACAAAACATAGTTATTCAATTTTATTTATTTTTATTTTTTTAAGATTTTGGCTTAGATTTCACAAATAGTTTAATATAAATTAGAAACGAAAACAATAACAGCTTCGCAAGGGAGCTCCAGAAAAATAATATTATTATTATTTTAGATTTTGGCTTAGATTTCGCAAATAGTTTATTAAATTAGAATGGAAACCACAGCATCAAATCTGCTGTAGCTAAAAAAACATGGTTATTCAGCTCCTGCAAGATTGGTTCGAGTACTAGCTGCGGAAATTATTTTTATTATTATTTTAGATTTTGCAAATAGTTTATATGCCAACCCATGTCTCCTATAGAGTAGTGATTCTATGGAAGAAAATTCCTAGTGTAGGAAATCAAAAAATTGGACTTGTGCTTTCAAGTGTCAAAATTATCAATAGATAGTCCCTTTGTCCCAAAATGAGACCTGAACGAAGCTAGAAATTTACTATTAAACTTGGGTTTCTTATAGGTAAAATTGTCCAACAATCAATATATATATAAATCATAATGTCCTCCATCTAAGCGAAAATAAATACAACTTCAAATGATTTCTCGGCATCCAAATATTTCATGAAAATCGGAAAACCAGATCATCAAAATAAAAACGCCTTTCAAGCCATTAATCGGATAGATGAGATTCCTGGTGGCAATTACAATTGATCCAAGTAAATGAAGTCCAGAGAGAAAAAAAAAAAAAAACACTAAGAATCCTTATGGAAGAAATCATCGATCCGACGGCTTCCTGCCGGAGGAACAGATTTATCGGCAGACTCAGAACGAGCCCGATTAGTAGGCGGACGATCGGACGGCTCAGAAGGCAATGGAAGCGAGTCAAGGAGGAAATCACCAGTGGGCTGGTGCCTCTTCACGGCGATTCTCAGATGTTCCAGCTTCACAGTCTTTCGCTTCTTCTCGACGGCAACTTCCGCAGATTTATCGGCGAGGAATTGGAGGAAGAGGTCGGCGGAGCAGGCGACGAGGAAAAGGGCCTCTGAATTGACCTTGTTGATGTCTTTGTCGAGTTTCATAATCCTCTTGATTCGGCCAGTCGGAATCGATGGTTGAACTGTCTCTGAGTTCTTCTCTCCTCCTTCTGCCATTGATGGAAGTGGAGTTGTTTGGTTTGGGAGGAATTGGCAGACTGAATAATTGCAGATTAGAAATGTTTTTAGGGTTTGGGTTTGGAATAGCGGGAAAAATTGGGATTCACTACTTTTGGGAGGATTAAATTGGCAATAAAGTCCTTGGAGCAAATCATGTGTTACCTGTGATTTGAGGAAAGTTAAGGGACCTTTTGAAGATTGACGAGGGCTATTAAGTCATTTCAAATTCTTTTTACCCGCCATTCTAAACTCTTCCCGCGCCTAAAGAAAAGTAGTGAGTGGCGCACAATAATACCATTGCGTGGCACCAAGAACTATTTCAACAATCATTGAAGAAAGTTAATACAGGACTTTACAAGTGCCATATTGTTGAGTAATTTAGTTATTTTTCGTATTTAGAATAGAACTTTGCATTCTCCATCTCTCTCACGAGTCTCAACATTCTTATCATAAAAAGAACAAAAAAAAATAGAGGTGTGAATTGATTTATGAGATATTTTAAAAGATTTTACAGATTTACCTATAAAGTACAATATCCAAAAATATGTATTATAGAATTTGATTCAATCCTTTATTTTACTTGAAATAGTTTATAAACACTCGTGGTTTATGTCAGTTTTTGAATGTGTTTTTTTTCCCCACAAATTAACTATAAACTAGTTTAAATTCACCATAATATGATTTAACTATGTACATTTTTCATAAAATAACTTTAAACTACTTAGGCACCGTTTGTTTGAACGTAAAATATTTTTCATTTTCTGATATTTAGTTGACATAAAATATTTAAGAAGAAAAAAAAATTTTTAAATCTAACAAAAATAAATTTTCAATAAATTATTTTATATGCTCTACCCGATGGACTCGATCTCAATCTTTACATAGACCTTTGTCAAACACCGACAAAATAGAAATAAAAGAATATTTTACATGAAAAGGTAAAATATTTTTAACATCGAAACAAACAGAACAAATCAAAAAAAATTCCAATTTAAGTTGCAATACCCTAATTTCATGCTTCAAAAGAGAGTGAAAAATGATTATATAACAATGCTTGTAGTTGAAGTATAATAATCCATTTAAAGAAAGTATAATAATTTATCCTACCTTAACTATTTCAAAGACCAATGAGTTATGTCAAGTCTAAAATAAGACCAGTAAGTAATACCTTCTATAAACATTTCATAATGATTAAGGCTTGTTTGTTTAAATGTAAAATATTACTTTTGAAAAATATATTTTTTTTAAGGCAAAATATTTTTTTTATTTTTATTTTGACGGTATTTGATAAAAGTTCGAGTTCATTGGGTGCGACAGGTAAAATAACTTACCCAAAATTAATGGATAAGTTATTTTTGTTAAATTTTAATATATTTTTTTTTTGTAAATATTTTACAACAACCAATCAGCAGAAAATAAAAAAAATATTTTTTGAAAAATATTTTACATCCAAACAAACCGAGAACCTCTCGAATTTACAATTTTACACTTTATAATATATTCTTATAATATATTTCTTGTTTGAATTTTACTTTACCAGTAACCACTGGCAATATTTTTTTATTAAAAAAAATCTTAAAATAAATGTTTGAAAAATCAATATACTATTTTTGTAATGTTATAAATTTAAACTTCTTATATTGAACCTATAAAAATTAAATTATCACGTCGTTGTGGATTTATAAGGAATAAGTTTAATAATTATTCACTACTAATATAATAAAAAATAATAATAATAATTATTCTGTTAAATTGTTAGATTTTATAAAAGTAAGACTTATTTTGGGAAGGGTTTGGATGGTTAACGCCAAAAAATTATACCTAAAACTTGTTACAGGACCCTCTCCCAGTTTTGTCACTGTGCTACACGGTTACACCGACTCAAGAACGTTTAAAAAGGGCTTCATTGTTTCGTCGCTCTTTTGCGTCGCTCTTCTCTGATCGTGTTCGATTCATCAACCAGAGGGAAAAAAAATGTGAGTTTTACAGTAGTTATTCTATTCATCGTGTATCAACATTCATCTATTTTTTTTTTCTTCCTTAATTTTGTAATTGATTGTAAAATTACTTACAAATCTAACATTTTTGTTCCAAAAAAACAAAAACATAGGAGGGCTTCGGTGAAGCGTCCCCCAACACCAGACGCAGAGGAAGAACAAGATCAAGAGCCCACTCTCCAAGAAATCATCAACGTCAAGGTTATTATTATACCCATCTTTATAATTTAATTTAATTACTCGTAATTAAGAAAATATGAAATATGTGGACAATTTTCTTGTTTAGTAGAAACTTGAGATTCTTATTTCGATTATAATTTGCATTTTATTATTATTTTTGGGTGAATTATTTGTATATATTCACGTGTATATGTGTTTGTATTGATTGGGGTTTAGTTCATTGAGAGTGGAGAAAAAGAAAGATTGAAGGAGCTTTTAAGGGAAAGGCTAATTGAATGTGGCTGGAGGGATGAAATGAAAGATCTTTGCAGGCAAGTATTTTTTATTTTATATATATATATATATATATTATTGATTCTTGTTCATGTTATTGGTGTTACTGTTGTTATATTTGCATTTGGAATTTAATAAATAAGATTATCTTTAGTCCAATTTTCTACCCACAATTAATAAATTGTCAGTGCGCATATTAGAACAGTTATCTTATGTTTGGGAGCACTGAATCAATGCCTTGAATTTGGGATTAGAGGAATTTTACTGATTCGGTGCTGCCAAACATAGCATTATTTTATTTTTCCCTTTTGAAAGGTAAGAGTCAAGACACAATCAATGTCCCGTTTGGGATTGAACCCTCGACCATCTCCATGACAGGGTGGAGGTGTGAGTCGTTAAAGCTACCTACTTTTATTGGCTTGTGCATGAGGTTTTGCTTTGGGATTTTATTCATTGCCAGTAGAAATAATAGATTGCTGGTAGAAGTGTAACAAATTTGTTAAGCTTTGTATCTATCAAAAAAAAAAATTGTTAAGCTTTGTAAAACCGCACAGCTTGGAACCCATTCACTGTTCTATGTAACTGTAGATTACTTAATATCTTTTGTTTTTAAGGTCCATTTTTCAATTACTGTACAAGATTTGTTTCAATTTGATATAGAACTAACTGGTAAAATCTATGTATATATTGATTTCACAGGGCATTAGTGAGGAAGAAAGGAAGGAACAATGTCACTGTGGATGACCTTATTAATGTCATCACCCCTAAGGGCAGAGGTGAATTTAATTTTATATTCCAGCTTTTATAGTTATAGTTTTATTTGCATGTTGAGTAGCACTCTGTTATTAGTCTTGCACCTAGTTACCTCTGATGTCTTGTTCAATGTGTTAAAATCCCTCTCTCTCTAATGGTTACAATATGTTATCCTAAGCATCACCTTTCTGTAGAAGTGGGCCACTGTACAACTTGGTGTTCTAAAATTTATATAAAAATCTAATAATAATATAACATTTTATGGTTGATAAGGTTGTTATGTGTCTGGTTCGTCTACTTGTTTTAAGTCCTCCTACCATTAGCCATGAAAGGGAGACACGGGCCGTTTACCACACTTGTCTACGACTAGTTTGCATGATGATTTGGCACGTAAAAGCCAAAAAAAAAAAAAAAAAGAGAGAGAGAGAGAGAGAGAGAGTAAGAAAAAGAAAAAAGAGAGTAAAATGTTGTATATTCCAGGGGCCTTTGTTCTATGTATTTTGAAAGTTTGAATGTGATGCTTTCATGGTTCTACTTTGAATCTTAGTTCTATTGTATATTTGTATTTTTCATTGGGAAATTCATACAGTTCCAAGCTAGGTTCAGTGGGTAATAGTATGACATGTCTCATAGGAATATAATAGGATATTTAAAGTTAGGTGTCTCAAGGTAAAAATCCTGACTGCTAAGGTGATATCAGCCCCAGTTGTAGCAGTCATATATTTCAATGAGTGAGACATGGATGCTTAATGGGAAAAGGTCAGTCCTTTTATAGTTCATGCAAGTAGGAGGAGCAAGTATTAGAATACATAAAGAGGTGCTTATGATCTATATGTCAGAAGCATCATCTTACTGATTTCTGGATTTTTCTTTATCCTAATAAATTTGAGTTATTAACTTGAGACGAATCCTATGTGTTGTTATGTCTGATATGGTGATGCGTACAAAAAAACTCTAATATAACGGATGGTGTCCGGAAAAATAATTGACCTTGAGATTTTTTATAATGTACACTTATTGCGTGCTTAGTTTCTCAAGTACCCCAAAATTTGCTTTATGGACTACCTCTGACTCCTAAAGATTGTTCAGGTAGAAGTACATAGAGTACGTGTGTTAAATTATTATTATTGTGCACACTGATGTTGTTGTAACAAGTTTAAAACTACCTGTACCACTGACTTCTCCTTGTGAAGTACAAAATAGTTTTATAATCATCCTTCAATTTATGTAAAATTTACATTATGATGTCTATGCAGCTTCTGTTCCTGATTCTGTAAAAGCCGAGCTGTTGCAGCGGATTAGATCTTTTCTTGCATCGGCTTCTCTTTGATTTCATCATGTAGCCGTTGGCAGTTAGCAGTCAACAGTCCTGGGACATGTGTGTGCAAAAATGCTTCTGCCAAGTGTGTCCGAGTTAGTCTGACTTATCAAAAAAAAAGTGTGTCCGAGTTAGTCTGATGTTTGTTTGGAGGATGTTCTCGAATGAATACTTTTGACGGAATGCATTTCAGAACTGTTGGAAAATGCATGTTGCATCTACATATGATGGGAACAGTCAGTCTTCTTCGGTGACAAAGAAAGCAAGATTTGGCATGTTAAGGTTTATTATCAACTTTGTTGACCTACATGGCTTTGAGACTTCAATTATGGCAGAGAAGTGTTATTCTGAATTTACTATTTTTAGTTTGTAAATAAATCATGATAGACATACTGGTTGATCTGTCTAGATATTCAAGGAATTGGATATAGAAGTTGTTGGCAAGGTTTTTGTTAAAATGCTAGTGAGAGTGGCATGAGCAATGAACTTTGGTGATTTATTTTGGTGGTATGAGGAATGAACTTGGGTTATTTATTTTGGGAGAATTTAATTGAAATAAATCAAATTATTTTCTCCAGTTTTGAGCCTTAAAATAGAGCATTTTACAGTTGAATGTGCGTGGCATTTTGCACATGTTTTTTATTCTATTAAAGCATTTTAATGGGCTTTAAATCTTCTGGCAATTATATAAGATTAAAGCCATGTGATGAAATTTACACATGCTAAATTTCACTTATGTGGCTTGCTCTGGAGTATCATGTATTGCTGCTAATAAAGCCTTGGGTCCTTGGAGCTCTATGTGCAGAGCAACTGACCATTTAAAACTCTGGAGCAGAAACTGATGACTTCGGCTTTTTTGATGATTCCTATCAAGAACTATGCTTACTGTTAAAATAAATAAATAAATAAATAAAAATCCACCTCCTCTCTGTGCAACTTTAACTTGGAATGGTTCGGATCATAATCAACTTTTAATAACATGATATTTAATGGTACAAATGTGGCAGCCATAAAAATTTGGAACTAAGATTCTTTTTGTTGGTCTAGTATCTTCAATTTAGTGGTTTTGTATCTTTGATTTAATATTTGTTATTTGGTGATGTGTTTTCCATTTAATTGTACTGAATTATATTATTTTTTATTTATATATATAATTATAGTATTTTTCTATTTTATTTATATATATTAAAAAAAAGTTATAAAAGTATACTCAATTGAGAGAAGATATTCGTTGTATCGTGTACCAGGCTACATACCCGCAATCCGCAAAAAACAAAACATGTTCTCTCAATTAAAGTGTCAAGTGCTTATATTGCACAAGAGTCTTTGATAAACACTATTTATTGAAAAAATATCTCTCTCTTTTTTTTTTTTGAATTCGGAATTTTGGACATTGTAGCATTATATTTGTTTTTAATTCTTTTTTAATTTTTAATGTCACGTCAATAGTAACATTACTCCGTCGCATGGGCCTATATGGTTGGAAAATAATAATAATAATAATAATAATAATATTATGACTATATGGCGAAAAAAATCTTAGGGCTGCATCTAAAATAGTCCCTACGTGCAATGACCATACACGTGTAGAGAAGGAAAGTTGGAAATTCTTAAATAGACCTAGTAGATACGCATACACCGCCTTCACCGCAGACAAGCTTCTCTATTCCTCCTCGGTGTGTGAAACAGAGAGAGACAGACAGAGACAGCGAGAGACAGGAGATGGATTCGGCGCAAAACGATCTAGAGCGGCTGATGCTATTCGAGCATACTCGTCGGACTGCTGAAGCCAGCTACGCTATTAACCCTAACGACGCCGATGTTAGTATCACTCCTCATCTTCTCTGATCTCTCTGTTTTTGTTTTTGTTTTATTTTTTCAATTTAGGTTTCATCTATTATATTCTCTATTATGATGTGCTTTGTAATTTATTTTTTCGCTGACTCTTACACTTTGTTACATTACATGTCTAAATATTTATTACTTCTATAAAAATTTGTGTGGGCACATATATATATATATATATATTATGACTGTTTTTATTTTTATGCTTGGCACTTCACCACTAATGCTCCGCTCTCAGAATACATTAGGTTTTTTTTTTTTTTTTTTTTTTTTTTTTTTCTATGTTTTTAAGTACGAATTTTGTTAGATTGATGATCGATGAGTTTATAAGTAAAACAGGTTGGCGGTACATTAGACATTTATAACAGTTCCTAAGTTGATGTCCCTTTGTATAACTCCACCTTTCTTGATTGGAATTTGGAAAATTTGGTGTCTTGATTATACATGTTATTTGCAGAACCTAACTAAATGGGGAGGGGCATTGCTCGAATTATCCCAATTTGGAGATATAAATGAGTCCAGGAAGATGATTAAAGGTATTTCTATCTGTTTCTCTCACAAAAGTTTTTACCGAGGGGCATGAATTGCAAAAAAATTGTTTGTGAAAATGCTTTCCAGTTTTAAAGGTGGATTCTTTAGTAAATAATGTTTGTGATCTCTGGTAGACTCGAAACGCTTACACTGATGATAGTGGTATATAATTATATATTTGGGTTTTATAATTCAATTCACAGAGTCCATTTCAAAGCTAGAGGAGGCATTGGTAATCAATCCCGCAAAGCATGATGCACTGTGGTGCCTAGGAAATGCCCACACTTCACATGCATTCTTGACTCCCGACCGCGATGCGGCACAGATCCAGTTCAAGAATGCGTCAGAATGTTTCCAAAAAGCAGTAGATGAGGTATCTCTTTTATTTATTTGTTTTTCCTTCTTCAAGTTTTGAATGTTCTACAGATATCATAATTTCTGCATAGTAGAATCTGAGATAATTTCAATGGTGAAATTGTTTACTGCAGCAACCAGGAAATGAGATCTATTGCAAGTCTTTGGAAGCCACAGCCAAGGTATTCACTTCAGCTATTTGCTTGTTTAAGCCTAACCAATTATATATGCTGCAATTTAAAATGGAATTCTGGAGGTCCTCAAACTATTGAATTGGTTTAAATATGTGAATATGGTTGATAGCGCTCTTACCTTTGCATGAAAGTGTTGTTTATTGATTTTCAGACAGACTTCATTTATTGCCAATTGGAAAGTGCAATCGGTCATTTGTCTAAGATTTTGTTTGTAAACATAATTCATTATTTCTTCATGTTTTTGTTGATGTGTAGTTAAGTACCTTCTTTGGCCTTTCGCAGTTTGATATCTGATACATGGGTCATTGACCCCATGTTATTAAAAGTAACTTTTCTATTCTTTTATCTTTTAAAAGAAACAAAGTGACCCATGATTAGATTCTTGTTGGAATTCCAATGGTTTCTTGTTTACTTGTATTTGGATTGGAAAGGGCCCTGATGTTATTAGGATGAGGTAGTTGGGGTGGCATGCATAATTTGAATGAATCAGGCTTGTTATGAGATATAAAAAAATGAATAAGGGTGGGCAATCACGGTTTATGGCTTAATGAGCAGTATAGGAATATTATTTAACATGCATGCATAGTTCACTTCATGCTTAAAATGTCCAACGTCTATTTTAGATTGCCAGTTTAATCCATGTAGGACGGGATGACACATTTGTTATTGATTAACATGGAAATGGGTTAGGGGTTGGGCTTGGGATTAGCTATGCTGATTTTGGTTTGGGGTAGAATATGAACAGCCTGCTGTTTAATTGGTTAAAATATGGTTGGGCCTGTAACAAATTGATTTGAGTGGTGAGGGATGATGGGTCGAAAAAAGTGTCCCGCATAAGCCATAACATTGGAATTTAGGAACGTAGATATAACCTTATATCTTGTGGGGAAGTGCCTGAAGGGTTGCAATTTTGTGTGAATGATGTAATGGAAAAAATGCAAGTTTTTTGTACTAATTTCCTTGACACTCGACGCTCAGATTTCCATCATTTTATAATATCAGCATTAAGCGATTAACTTATTTGATCTTCTTTGGTTTAAATTTGAATTACAATTAAACTATTGCTGATGTCCTTATTGATGCAATCTGCTAGGCTCCAGAATTGCACATGGAGCTACATAAACACGGGTTTGGTCAACAGGCTATGGGTGGAGCTTCTTCTGCTGCTACTAATGCAAAGGTGGGATGTTTTAAGTTTGCTTTTTCTCTTGTTGCAGACTTGCAACCTAATTACAACTTGCATGTTTGAGGATTGCCTTGTGGTTTGCTTGCTTTATGGGTTCCTCTATCCTTGAGGAGACCTATTATGTCTTTGTGATTTCCTTTTTAGGAATGGTGTCTGAACTGTAAGTCCCCTAGTTAATGTCAGAGCAACCATATATACGGACTTCTCAAACTTAATACTATATGGTTCTTTAACTGTCTAATCACTTGAAAATGTTACTGCTTTGCTTTTCTCCTCAAAAGGTTGTTAGATAGCAATAGCATATGCCTAATTCACAATTTGCTTCATGAAGCTTTTACTTCTGTCAAAATTTTCCTTAAAATTGATTGTTTTTGTTTCAGAAGGGGAAGAAGGGTAAGAATAGCGATCTAAAGTATGACATATTTGGGTGGATAATACTTGCTGCTGGAATTGTCGCATGGGTGGGAATGGCCAAGTCTCATGTTCCTCCACCTCCTCCAAGATAAGCCGAAAATTATTTTTTTGTCGTGCATGGATGTTAGTAACATCTGCTGAAGGATGCAATTTTTCAGAGACAGACCAAGCTGATACTTGTAGTGAATTGAAATTTGAGGCATACGTATGACGTCTATATATTAATTTTTACTTGGTAATGTTATTGTGGTGTTAAATTGGATGTTAAGGTTATCTTTAATATGAATTCCTGTTTTTGCTTTACTTGTCTCTTCTTCTTATAGGGCAATTTTGCTGGTTGTCCAGAATATATCTTAATATAAAGGATCTAAAAATTTTGTGAAGTTTCAAACAACACTAGAATGATTTTAGTATGGTGTGTTATCTGAGAAATGAGATTAGTTTGTTTGGAATACCTACTTCTCTTCGAAATAAATTGTTAATTTAAAAAAAAATATATATTATTAGGGGAGAAGCTTCTACCAAATTTCTGTCATGTCGTTGATATGGATCGGTGTGATTTTGTTTTGTTAACCATTTTTCTCCCTTGGTTGATACTTCATACTCACATACTTCCTCCAAGGAATTGTTTGCACCCAAGAGGAAGGATTTAAACCAGTAAAGGCTTTAGCTGGCTCTACCTCTCCAATCATTGCCTTCTTGTTTTCGACCTATTGGAAGAAACACTCCATTGCCTATAGGAGCTATCCACCAATCAATCGAAATTTCAATGATTATGTAAGAGAATCCATTTTTCATTGATTCTTCGATCTTTTTGTGTTCCTTGCTCAATAGCTATTTCCTTCCTTATTCATAGCTACCCAGCTCTAACAAAAGGTAAGCTCCAGAGTCGTCTTTGGGTCACCGACCTTAGACACTCCGCCTTGCGGTCTTTCACTTCCCCTTTTCTGTTGCTACCCAGCCTCTAAGAAATGGTTACAATCCCCGCTGATTGCACGAGCTAGCAGTTTTGTTCGATTTCTCATGTTCCAATTCGACCTAAACTTGCACCAGGGTCAAGTTCTTATCCACTTGAGCTGGTTGATTTTGTTAAAACATTTAAAGTTCAGAGGAAGTAAACTTTGAGAAGTATAATTGCAATGCCACATCATTTGTTGTGTGTGTGTTTTTTTTTTCTTTCCCGGAAGTTACCTTCGTTGTGTTTCGTTGCTAGGCTCCCCGTATAACTTTCGAGTTCTGGAATAAAATTTACCATTGAGAGGTTTCGAATTAGATCACAATCATCATTGAAACCTTGTTCCAGTTAGGATCCGATAGCACATATGTAGATATAAATTCAAACATGATCTCTCGGGAAAATTTCACAATTACAAGAATTTCTCCTAGTAAATCGAGTATGCACAATCTAACAATTATTCTGCCTGTGAAATTTAGATGTAAGCTTTCAAGGGAACATGTTACGACTATAAAACTACATTTGACAAAGGCATATAATGATTCGGATAAGAGGAGTCGTTGATGCAATTATGATACATTTTAGGGAAGGACACTCAAATTTATACAAATATAATATGCAAATGGAAAATAATTTTTGCACGGACTAATTGTTGTTAGACCTAGTTTTTTTAATTGGTCTAAATGTGACAAATAAAGACTTACTTGTATTTAGCATAAATTAAGAATAAAAAACCATCAGGTTAGACAATTCATTGCAAATCTTAGGTGTGTGTATCACTACTCTATAGGAGTGGCAATTTGTATTTGTAGGTCATAATTGTGTCGGGTCGATGTAAGGTATTATACTAAATAGGTAAACCTAAACCTAACTCATTTAATAATCGTGTCAAGAACCCTCAATACTAACCCAACCCGTTTATTAAGCAGGTAAATGTGTTAACCCATTTAATGACCTGTTTATCAAAACGAGACATTTAATATTTAATCAAATACTAAATAATAATAAAAAATTATCACAATTAATCCAAATATTCAAAATAAGAAGAAAAATAATAAAGCATAGACAAAGTTTATGTTGAAATGACTTAAGTATTCATAGTAATTGGGTTTAAATAGAAATATATTACATAGGTCATATTTCCGATTATAACATGTTGAGTTAAATGGGTCATAAACGGGATATACGGGTTGAATTCTTTAATCCTAACCCGACACGGTTAAGTAAACGGGATAATCGTATCGACCCTTTTATGACCCAAATCCGTTTATGCCAAATCCAAACTCTTTTAACTCGTATCGTGTTGTATTTCAGGGGCGACTCAATATAATTTGAGGCCTTAAGCGAAAATTTTAAAAGTGATCTAATATATATATATATAGTCAATCCAATTAATTTTTATTGTCACATAATTGATTTTAGAGTTATACAACTTATACTTAATGAAAAATGAGAGAAAATATGTCAGAAATAAGAAGGAAAAAAAAAAAGAAAAAAAAGGAAAAGAAAAAAAAGATAAAAGTTAAAATAAGAAAATAGCAAGTTAGCAAGTTTTAGGAGCAGATAGAGGGAGAGAGAGAAAAAAACAGAGGTAAGATAAAAGATAAAAATCTTTTGGCCCTATTAAATCTCTATTGATTAGGGTCTAATAAATACAAATAAAAATTTTAAGGAAGTTATAATATAAAAAAATAAAAAATTGAGGCCGGGTAAAGTTTAATTATAGGAAGGAAATAACATTTTAGTAAGGTTATAATATAAACAAATAATTTTTTTTGAAAGTTATAATATAAGGAAATACAAATATAAAACAAAAAATTTAAAATTTAAAATAATGATTTTATTTATAAAACATATTTATTGGAATCTATATGTTTCAATGTCAGCTTTACTAGTTGTAAAAGTCAAAACGTTATGACATCCAAAAGAAGGGTGCTGCTATGTTGCATTAACTCAGATGAGATGATTTATAAGGAAAAAAAAAAAAAAAGGGTTAGTGCACGAGCACTGTCATGGGTAATGCTGTTAGTCTCTGTGTGCATTGCTTAAACTTTTGACAAAAAATAATGGGTGAAATGGGGGGTAATTGAAAAAATAAAATTTCTAAACTACCCTTCCGGCCATTTAAGCCATTGTTTATTTGGACGTAAAAACCTAATTAAATTAACGAAATAATATCACTTACCTCTCACGAGATTAGGCCTAATTACAGATAATATCCCTAACATTTCAAAAATTACATAAACCTCCCTCAAAGTTAGCTCCGTTGTAACACTTCCCCCCTTTGGATGATAGTCAAAGCATCTCCAATGGTAAGATGTTAAATTCGGATGTCAAATCTATATTTTGACAGTACTACAGTATCAAAATGCTACATTTTAACAATTATGCTCCAATGATGCATTTTATGCAAAATGCTATTTTTTGACACAACCACTATTCTTTTTCAACTATCATTCCCACCATTTATATTTGTATCAATAATATTAATATTAAGCACATTCCAAGTCAAGTTGCAGACATTAGAAGGAAACTAAAATTAAACTTAATTAAAAAGAATCAAAAATCTAAAATATCTGGCCAAAAAAGGCCCCAAAAATATTTATATATATATGTATAAATTTATATATTTGATTATATTATTATATAATTTTTTTTTTCTATTTCAAAAATTTATATATATTATATATAGGTGATACCCCTCGAATCCGAGACATGGGTTGATCAAGCCCAAGCCCAAACCCGAGGGAAAATTAGACAATTAATATATAAACCAACACAGAATATAAAAAAAAAATTAAGAATTACATAATAAAGCTGAAAGAACTATTAAATACAAAATCCTCCAAAGTTAAAGATTAATTAAATCCAACTCTCCAAAACCTTCAAAAGTACAACTCGGGAATCCATCTAGTGGACCCCTCAATAAAATCCCAACTGAACATAAAATAATTGGAAATAAAACCAATTCTAAAACATGGAATGAAATCCTACGTCGTCGGTAGAATGAATGACCATCTCTGCTCAGCCCGAACGAGCCCTAAGACTAGAACCGTCCGATACCTGAAAAAAAATATAAGAGTGGGTTAGGCCCACGAACAAGTTCTAATCTAACTGTAATACATACAATGACCCGATACGCATATACATCCTAGATATCTCACAATATCTATCTAGTCCATAAATATATATAGATATCCACACTAAGGGACATTCACGGGACTACAAAGGGGTCTCAACCTGAATAGAAAGCAACATACAAAAACGCACCCAAAGGTGGGCATGAATACCTAGACCTAACAAGGTACACCTTAACCTATCATAGCCAGCTATGCATCCACTGCATACTCGCACCCTAACCAACGAGCCTAAAACTCAAGCTCATCTCGTGGTACCATAACCATATATCTAAAGTCCGTCTACATCCAGAGTATATCATTCAATTATATATTGATCTAACATACGATTTATAATCCAGTTAGTCACTCAACTTATTCAGTTAATATGACTTAACTACAAATAACAGTTAATCCATGTAGTCACTCAGGGCCCGTTTGGCATGCGTTTTGCTTTAGGCGTTTTGTTTTTGGCTAAAACAGAAACAATATTTTTACTATTGGAGTGTTTTGGCAAAAATTGAAAGCACGTTTGGGAACGATGTTTTATTGTGGAAATGTCGGAAACAGAAACATGAAAAACATGTTTGGTAAGCCATGCGTTTCCAGAATTTTGAAAACAAAACATGTTTGGTAACTCCAACGGTTGTAAAAAAAAAAAAAAAAAAAAAAAAAAAAAAACATGTTTGGTTATCATTGTTTTTTATTTATTTTTATAAATTTATTTCTATATAAATAGTCTATATATTTTTAATAAATGTATTAAAATTTGAACACACAAACATATATATATATATATATAACCAAAGTGTAATTACGGAAGCAACTGCTTCAGCGAAAATGTAGAATGTTAATTCTAATAATTGAACTAATAATTTCAACCATTTTGCATATTGTCTTGATCTGAAACTACACTTCAAGTTATTTGAAATTTCCTAGTATAATTTGTTCCTTTAGTGATGATTGTCCATAGGTTTGTGTTTCATTCATTTTGCGCATTAGCGAAAGAAAAAAAAAAAATTACTACATAGCTCTGATAAGAATTTTTGGCTCTTGTAAGTCTGCACTGGTGGATATTCAACTCCAAAATACAAACTCGTGCCTTCTTTTCTGTAAGGAAATGTAAACCCCCACCAAATTACAAACACATATTTTTTGCTACAAAAAAAAAGAAAAAAAAAAGAGACATAAATGAATGAAGAAACACTACAAGAAAAATGACTTTTTACCAC